ATATATATATATATATATATACACATACATACATACATATATATATATATACCTTTGTCCTTTCACACCCAATCAAATGGAAAAAACGAATTACCTAAGAAATTCCAATTTTTTGCATTTTGTTAACCTGAACACATGAGATACATTTCATTTGAGTTAAGGCAGGGCCATTAGAACCCATGGGTGGGCCTCCGTTTTTTTTTTTGTTTTGTTTTTTTTTACTTAATTGAACAGAAAAATACATTTTAAATAAATGGTAACTTTTAAATAAATGCTAAAAATTAAAAGGTAAAACATAACAAAGCCTGTTCTTCTCCATAATGCAGTGTTTCTATACCACTTTCAGCCAGTGAACTGTTGGCTTTGAGCAGTTGTGGCTCAGCTGGTTTCGTGTGAATGAAGAGAAATCTAAAGAATAAAGAGCAGCTGCCTCCTACCTTTCTTGACAGCTGCTTTTCCTGCCTCATAGAGAGGATGTTGGGTGTCAGCCAGCCAGGGCTTTGCCCCAWTCACCATGGAGATTTTCAGCTTGTTGGGACTCTTTCTTTTGGCAAACACTGAATGAAGGTAATCTGTTACCTAAAACACAGACAAAGATTACTGAAAAAGTCAAATTTGAAACATATTTAAACATATCTCTTACCTGTTTCTTGACCATAGCAGGATCCATGTCAGGTACTTGTCTTATTGAGAACTTGGCAGTAACCTTAGCAGGAATGACCGTCTTGGTACCACTGGCAGAAAAGGCACCTTGGATACCGTGAATGGAGACAGTGGGGTAACGCCACAAATGAGCCAACAGGTCCACCTTAGGAACAGAAAACACACTTAAACTGTTGTAAATGAACTTTGTCTTAATGTTGAACTCTTACTACCTTGTTGTTGTACATSAGCTGACTGACACCAATCTTCTCCTTGTAGTTGTCGATGTCAAACTCGATATCCTGGTACAGTTTCCATTCTTCATCCGTCAGCGGAGCCACGGCTTCCCTGATCCCAGGAACCAGAATCGTTCCACTGGGGCTGATGAGTGTGTCTGAGGTGTGGGATTAAAATAAGACAAGATTGTTTTACTAAATTTTCGAACTTATAAATTTGATACGGGTACATCATCATGATGCCCTGTTTAGAAATTGAATCCAGCTGGTTGTTTATTGTTACCAAAGCTGGAGAAGAACCAAAGAAAAAAACATTTGGCCCTACCTCACTACTGTGATGGGATAAGTAGTTGTCAACTTGCATTGAGGGTCAAGGTTTAGAATTCATCTAACTCTTCAGCTAGTCTGTTGGAGACTATTTTAACATCTGAATAATTGATAGATTGATAAAATATGAAAGTCAAAGATCAGATGTTAGACTAACCAAGAATACCAATCAGATCAGTCATTGGTTCAATCACAACTCCTCCATAAACACCAGAATGCAAGTCCTGTTTAGGTCCTTCAACCTGTAAATACACAGAAATTCATAGAAACCTACAATTTACACCTGAGTCCTGCTGGTACAYGTTTCCTGTGAAGAATTGTTCAGTCATAGACTCAGACACACAACCTCAGCAAAGAAGTAGCAGTTTCCTCTGGTGCCATACGTGAGGGCCGGCCGTCTGCTCCTCCAGCCACAGTCAGAAATGATGATGTAATCCACATCTGAGAAGAACGTGTCTCTCTGGGCCAGGATCATGGCATCCAGACCGTTAGACCCCGTCTCCTCCATACCCTCGATGACAAACTTCACATTTACCGGTAACTCCTGATAACAGCAAGTACAAATATATTTACAGGTGTATATTGTACAATATATCAGTTTATACTGTGTATTTACAGCATATTACATTCTTTGTAAAGTTGGCACTAAGTTATATAAAATAAGTTATGCTGAATTTTTCAAATTCTAACAGAAGAATTTCTGTAAATGATAACTAATTTGTAAACAAATTTGAAGAATATTTGCTGTCCTTGATGCAATTATTACAAAAAAAGTCAGGATTGATGAAGAAACTGTAAAAAGCATAAAAAAATCAAACCAAAAACAGAAAAATTGGGTATCATGTCAGCTCAAATGCCTTTTGAGGAATTCATTGACAGGTGGACTGAGATGTCACAAATTACCTTTATAATAAGAACCCCTCTGGTTTAACATATCACATCTTTTTAATTCTATTTTTTCCAGATTTAAAATCTAGTTTTATTTTAAATGACCAACAGGTTATACATGTGGCTCCCGGGCCATCASTTGAGTAGAACTGGCCTTAACCGTCTAACCCCAGTGAAAGGAACCTGTAGGGTTCTACCTTACTACACCCTATAATTTGGTTTGATTTGTTCATCTGATCCTCACCATCTGGAGGGCTTGATAAGCCTCCACAGCATGAATCCAGGCCAGAACTGGAGCTTTGTTGTCTGAAGCTCCTCTTCCATACAGATTTCCTAAAAATGAAACAGAACAAATGGAGCTGAGTTTTTCACATCAGTCTCAGTTTTTGAATAAATTAATTTACAGCTAGACTGAAAGGTGAGTTGTAGGTTTTACTATGTATAAAAGAAGAATTAATCACAAATTATTTGAAACCATGTAAATCTAACTTAAAAGTTGTAAAAATATWTTTTTTCACTGGTCATGTTTAAATCATGGTACTGACACCAGGGTTCACAGAGCAGAGAATACATTACAATACATACCAGAGACTCACTACTCACAGTATTATTGGTTAAAATATTCAGGTTATTAAACACAGGCATGATGATAATACAGACTCAACAACCATTAGAGTAAAATTATATTCTAAGCACCCATTCAATATATAATTGTTGGACGTCATCTAAAAAATCCAAAGTCTCAAAAACGAATCAAACACACAAAAAAAATCAAACAAAAAAAAAATAAAAAATTACCAATGGAACTTTATTGGTAATTCTTCTAAATAAATCATAAATTCATTAAAAGATAACAGTTATTGAG